TTTTACATTCATTCTAAATCATAAACATCTTAAAGACATCTTCTAAACGTCTATTTGACATCTGATAGGAAACGTCCTATAGACGTATAGCAGATGAGCAAACACTCTAAAAAATACGTCTTGCAGATCTCAAATAGACATCAAATAGAGTCTCCGTGATGGACGTGTGCTGTCAGGTTATGGGAAAATATTGGAAGAAATATTCCTAAATATTGATTTGGGGGTTTATATGAATATATCTCTGTGGAGAACTGACTGTTTTAGTAAAGTTTAGATAGTGTTTTCTTTTCATCTCGTCTCTGTATAGTTCATATTAAAGCAGTGTTTCAGCGCAGCTCTGCTGTGTTCACGGCGGTAACCAAGGAAACGCTGTATCAGCGGTAACCAAAGAAACGCTGTATCAGCGGTAACCAAGGAAACGCTGTATCTGGTGTTCCAGGAGCGCCTCCTGCTGTCAGAGAGTAAATCTGCATCTCTTTCAGAGCTTCTGCTGTTTCGGTTTCCTGCAGATATGATTTATGTAGCATAGTTTCACAAAGCTAAAGTCTGATCATTCTGTATTTGCTTTAGATTTTCAAATTAAACAATCTAATTTAAATCAAAAGCTGCACATGTATAGGGCAGTTGTGGCCTAATGGTTAGAGAGTCAGACTTGGGTTGCGGGTTCGAGTCTCGGTATCAGCAGGGATTGTAGGTGGAGTGAGTGAATGACCAGCGCTACCCTTGAGCAAGAACTGAACCCCCAACTGTGGCTGCCAACTGCTCCAGGTGTGTGTTTGTATATGAATGAAGTGAAGTGACATGTGGCCAAGTGTGGTGACCCATACTCAGAATTTGTGCTCTGCATTTAACCCATCCAAGTGCACACACACAGTAGTAAACACACACCTGGAGCAGTGGGGAGCAGCTGGGGGCTCGGTGCTTTGCTCAAGAGTCTCACCTCAGTCGTGGTATTGAGGGTGGAAGAGAGCACTGGTTATTCACTCGCCCCACCGACAATTCCTGCTGATAGCGAGACTCGAACCTGCAACCCAAGTCTGACTCTCTAACCATTAGGCCACGACTGCCCCATATGGGTGTGTGTGTGTGTGTGTGTGTGTGTGTGAGAATGAGTGAATGAGTGAATGAGTGAATGAGTGAGTGAGTGATGTAGATGTGTCTGCTCTTGGGGCAAAAGTTAAAGCTGGATCTGTTGTGGATAAAGAAACAGTTGTTGTTTTGGGGGGGATATGAGGTCTAAACTGGCAAAATAAAATAATGCACAAATCATTATTTTCTATATAAAGACACCGTCTGGTTATGAAGCAAACATGCAGTTAGTCTAAATGTGATTTTCACACAAAAAAAGATTCACTGTACTACTGTATATAACAATGCATGTTGTGTATACATTATCAACTGGTTAGGCCTAGGTTGATGTGTTTTTTTCCCCCCAACATTCAGATTTGGCCAGTGTAACTTTAGTGCCATATAGTCACTTTATGTGCCTGCAAAATTACCATTTTTGATGGTGTGTAACTGTCTCAACTCTTGGTCACCTCTTAAACTTTTCCCTCAAAAATCTGGTCAGCTCTTAAACTTTTCCCTCAAAAAAGGAAAAACAATATTCCTGCATTCTCCTGTAGCGAAGTCCTTTAGAAGAGGGTTTATACAGATTATAAAAACAGAATAATCATAAAACTATAAATGTTCATTGACCGACTTTCTCAATTCCCCATATTGCCATCTTACATTTTATTGAGAGTTTGCATATGGTACACATTTGTTTTTGACAGACATGCTGTATTTCTTGCTAAATACACTTTCAGGGCCGCCATAATCTTACACAGATGCTTCTGGAGGAATCAAGGTATGACATCAACAAAATATTTGTTCCTTTCAGTTGGTTTTCTCAAATAAACACCAACATTATATTTTTAATTAAATTATATTTCTATAGAATGTATAATGCTTCATATTCAAGCTGGTCAATTTATGACCCAGTAGAAAAGGTCTGACATTGCAAATTCATTTTAAAATATGACTACATTTTTAAAATTGTTGATATTGTCCTAATGTAATCCCTCATTCTTCTGATACATTATTTACATGTTTATCCTTCCTTATTATATTTTCATATGCAACAATTCATATTTCATGTATATTTTTATCCCTACCTGAAATGAGAGAAAGACTCAGGATCAGAATGAATGAAGACGTGTAGCTTATCCCAATCATTTCCCAGAATGATGCCAGTACGAGTCCAAACACATGAAAAATAATACACCGGAGTCCTGTACTGGTGTAGCTTCTAACACATCTCAGCTTGTGTAACAGTTTACTGACCAGAGTATATGGTTCAGATATTAAAACACATTCTGAAAGCCATAATCATGTATCAAAGTCCACTGTGAGAGAGGTGATGTACAGATCATGAAACACTTATAAAGATAAAGACTAATTTCCTTTGAATCATTTCACATTTCTACTTATTTTCCAACCTCATTTTACAACACACTATTTGACTCACTTGAGCACACCTAACCAAGACATCATAACGCTGTGAAACACTCTCATGATTTGGATATAATGGCTGACTGAAGGAACACAGCTATTACGTAACGCATCACAATAAACAACAGTCCTTTTAAATAATAACATACGGTACATAAGCAGTGTATTTCTTGTTACAGTAATGTAGTCAATTATAAAGGCAAACGTGTGTTTATATTGGGTTTTTAGGCCAGAAAAAAAAAAAGCCAGCCAAAAAAGAAAAGGCATCAACTGAAACAACCACAATTCCCACAAAATGCTCAGAGGATGTTAAAATATTTGTTGAAAATATGAAAGATGACTGACAGCACCTAAAATGCGATTGCTCTAGATAGATAGATAGATATCCAATGGACTTGGTATATGACTAAATTAGAATTACACTATACAGTATGACAACATGGAAAATAAATGTTATCATTCACTGGTTACCTGAAGATGGTTTGATGATGTCTTTGTTTTATTTGCTGTCCACACACTAAGTTTATGACCACAATCAAGATTTGCTTTGATGCCTATACAGTGTACTCTGTACTTTGTTCTGATAAAATTCAAGGACACAAAATATCTCCTGAACAATATCTGGGTAACTGCACAACTACCATCTTAAGCTCAAGTCGAACTTTTAAAAACATCTACACAAATTTTCATTGGTCTTTAGGCTAAAATAAGAAATACACATAAAAAAAAATATCATGTTAAATTTATTATTTAAAAAAAGGCAGTGATATAAAGTTAATATACCAAGTTATGACCAATATCTGCTTTTAACTTTAAAATGTACTGATATCTACCATATTAATTAATGTGGCACAATAGAAATCCACATGTTGAATCAGAGTTCATTGCCTGAACATAAAACGTTCTTAAGAGACAAGTGTAACACAAAACATTCTATAATGTACATTACTACTAACAAAAATTAGAATAAACAAACTATTTAAATAAAATAATCATACGTGATGGTGTGTTACACAGGGACTTCTGGGAATGTCCTTTTACTGTATTCCATTTAAAATAGGTAATTCACAGTTTTTCTTGCAAAATGGTATAGTTAGCCAGTTTTTTACTGTAGCATTTTTTTCTGTAAAATCAATTACAGTTTACAAATATTATATCACAATATCTTGACTGTTTAAAGTTGAACATTGGAACATTTCAAATTATGTTTTTATTTATTTCTGCCTGATGAAGAATGAATTGTCTGAATGTTGCACCGTTCAAATGGACATGTGTGACATTGTGTCCTGTGCCAGTACCTGCCACCTGTACGTTGCTCCTGTGGACGCTATTTCTGTTTATTTTTTATGGCCTGTGTGGACTACACCTAGTTACTTGTAATATGCTTCTCAGACATTTTTATGCAAGTTTATCATGAAATGTGTTCTATTGGTCATGGTTGGTGACAATACTAAAGGCCTGTTTTATCTTTCCAAAGTTTTTAAAAGTACTTTATTGCTTCTGTCTTTATTTGCCATTGACATATCGCATAAACTATTGGAGTATTATTCAGAACCAGGGACGGACTGGGAGTAAAAAAACGGCCCTGGATTTTATCCCAAATAGGCCCACCACAACTACAAACAGTAGCTACTATCTCACAATATTACAGCAATCCTATCGTATTTATGGCAAATAACATCACAAAACCCATGGTGACCCTGCTGACAAAAACAATAGAAACCATCATTCTAATGATTTTCACTACAAATACCATTACAAACCATCAACTTTTAACCATTAAATCCATTATAACATGTTTTCCTGTATTGTGTTTTGGGACATATTCCATTAGGATTTAGTGGTTTTAACAAGCCACCAATACAAGGCGACTCATTACCAGAGACCCACAGTTTATTCAAAACAAATTGACCCGTATGACTGGTTTTGTGGTCCAGGGTCACATATATTGTTTTGCTACTGACTGAACCTTGGCTCAAGATCACATTTCTGGATCCTTCTGAGGAAAAAATACAATAAAACAAGTTTTGCAGCAGGTTGGAGTTCAGGACTACATTTCCCAGAATTCCCCTTCTCCTGCAGAAATTAGGGCGGGTCTCTTTAAAACTCTCCGTCGGCGTTAATTTCTCACATTGCACAATGTCACCGTCACATAACGCGAGTTTTCGTCTTTATTCGGTCGCTAGTCGCTGTTATAAGCGTCAGTTTAGCGCTGAGGAACTCAGTCAGGGCTTGTTTACACATGCGACAGGCGTCTATGTCAAGTTCCTGACTGCTCGCTGAAGCAGCACGATGGGATTTTTTCACAGATATAAATTCTAATTAAACATAAAAGGTCGTTTTTGTCTTCAGCAGGCTATATTTGTTGATATCGATTAAAGTGATTAGTTTGTGTCGGGTCAGCGCAGGCAGTCCGCTGGATACCTATTCAGCGAGGAGGGGCGGTGACCGAGAGCACATGCCTTCGTTCCGAGCTTCGCCATTGGTCGTTCAGGGGGCCTTAGCACGTATCCTACTGTCTGATTGGCGGACGCGGCTGTCCATCAGTGTCGGTCTGCGCTGGCGTATATAAGCGCGCGGGTCTGCTGTGCCATAGCACTCGTGAACGTCCGAGAGTTCAAAGTCTGTTTTTAATCATCACTGGTTTAGCGCACGTCTCATAATTACAGTATCTCTCGCGCACGGGCGGATGTGTGGCTTTATATAGTGTGCCGTGTGAGGCATTTTAGGGTGATTTTCGCGTGCGTACTTACTTTCAGCGCAAGAAAGGCGAAGAAACGATCGCGCTTAGTTGTGTGGGTGTGTGTGTGTGTGTGTGTGTGTGTGTGTGTGGGTGGGTGGGGGGCTCGCGTTTCTCTGCATTATTCATGAGCAGCGGTGGATCCTCCCAGGGGCGGAGTTATTCAAAGTAGGCGTGGCGGTGATAGATGAGTGACAGATGTAACACGTGGGTCACATTAATGCACCTAAAACTGACTGTAGACAAGTACTTATGAAGTGTTAATGACATAGTAAGCAGAACTTGCTAACTAGCTGGTGTTTTCTGCAGGATCCGTGCAGTCGTATTAGAGGCTGATGGATGTGGGCTGTGATGTCCGTTCAGAGTGAGTTTCGGGCCGCCGGTGGGGCGAGTTTGCACCCTCAGCCCGTCACTGTTCAGGATGAGGTGACCGCTAACATGGTGGTAACCGAACTCGCTGGCGACGCGGCGACTCTACATGTTGACCAGATGAAAAACGGCCTGCAGTCGCGAGTCGAGACACAGAAACTGAGCAAGCGTCGCTACACCATGAGCGTGGGGTTCAAACACCCGAGCCTCAGTAAACGCAGACGCCGCGCCAACTCCGAATGCAACCCGGTGCTGCCCACCAACTTCCTGCTGGGCGGGAACATCTTCGACCCGCTGAATCTCAACAGCCTATTGGACGAGGACGTCAGTAAGGCGCTCAACGCCCAGACGCCCAAATCCTCGCCGCTTCCCAGCAAAAACAGAGACCCGGTGGAGATCCTGATTCCCAAAGACATCACCGACCCTCTGAATCTAAACGGGCGCGGCAGAGACGCGGCTGCGGGCGTGTTAGTGTCGCCCTTGAAGAGCAGGCGCAGACATCGCAACCGACACCACCCGGGAGCGACCGCTGAGCCTTCAGATGGTGAGAGGTCAAAGGTCAACGAGGGGTCGGCGTCGGGCCCGTTGCTTCCTGCCGATACTTCGGCGCCTGACAAGGTCGCGGATACCGCTGCTGCGCTAGAGGAGTCGCCGCATCCTTACAAACTCAACATGTCAATCAACTGCCGTGACGAAGTGGTGCCGCCCATCCTCCCGCGGCGACGGCCACGCCCCTCCTCGTCTAGCTCCGCCCCTCAGGCGCAGTCCAGCCAGCTGTCCAAACACAGGAAGCGCAGACGAACCAACAGCCGTTCGGACCGCCTGTCCATCACGCCGACTCCGCCCATCAAGCGCACAGTCACGCACAGCCAGACGTTTCACACTCCTGTTGTGGGCGGAGTCGGCGGAGCTCCACCCCTAGGGGCGGGGAAAACCCCACAGCAGCGGCACAGGACGCAGCACAGGTTCCAGTGCGGAAGCTACAGCCGTTACTACGGTTACCGCACCCCGTCACTAAACGCCGACCCGCGCCTGGCCGTGTTTAAACCCGAGTGGTTCCGCGGGAAAAAAGTCCTGGATGTGGGCTGCAACACAGGTCACGTGACCCTCGCCATCGCCAGACACTGGGGCCCTGAGCGCGTGCTGGGTGTGGACAACGATGGCGCGCTGGTGCACGTGGCCCGACAGAACCTGCGCTACTTCCTGTCAGAGCTGCACGGATTGGACGAGAGCGGCAGGATGTGGGCGGGTGAGGGGTCAGAGGTCAAGGCCGGGGGTCAGATGGGGTTAGCGCCTCTGATGGGCCTGCAGCTGGGCCTGTGCGGTCAAGCATTACGCAGGTTTCCCGTCTCCTTCACGCGCTGCCGTGGACCCATCGCCACATTTCCCATAATGCCTCACGTCCCGGGCCTGTTCCCCTGCAACGTCTACTTCCTGAAGGTAATCTGTGTGTGTGACTTTATCATTTTCAAGCTTTTCTTGGCTTCCTTCTGTCTGTTGTTCTGTTTGTCTGTTTTTTAAAGGGATAGTTTTCTGAAAATAATAATTGTCATCATTTACTCTCCCTCATGTCGTTCCAAACCTGCGTGAGTTTCTTTCTTCTGCTGAACATAGAAGATATTTTGAAGAATGTTGGCAACCAAACAGTTGCTGTTAGCCATTGACTTCCACAGTATGACAACACTAATAGAAGACTGCCTGTAGCTTACATATGTTATATGTTAATAAAGTTGTGTATATTTTGGATGACAGTATCAGAGATCTGTCTGTTCTGTCTGTCTCTTCAGCCACACTTTCTGTCAGGTTTTGACATGCCTGTGTGTGTGTGTGTGTGTGTGAGAGAGAGATAGAGTGTGTCTGCAGTGTATTTAATTGTTTAAGTCAATTTGGTGATTTCAGTCATCATACAGTAACCAGCCACCCTTCCTCTTCTCATCGAGACATGAGATGCAGTGCTAAACAGTCTCTCGCTGTCTGTGATTTGTGTCTTTCTCGGACAGTTTTAAATGCATCCACACTGCCGTCATGTTTGCTGCATTAGTGCACGCCTCTATTTGATCACGTCACATCATTGTTCGGTACAATTTATTCTGTCTTTTCCGTGTGTGTGTGTGTGTGTGTGTGTGTGTGTGTGTGTGTTCAGGGTGACTATGTGCCGGACAGTGATGAGGCGGTGATGTCCCAGTGTGCCGAGTACAACGTCATTCTGTGTCTGAGTTTGACTAAGTGGGTTCATCTGAACTATGGTGACGCTGGAATCCAGAGACTGTTTCACCGCATCTACAGACAC